GTTATTTTCACTGGCTTATGAAAAAGGAACCTAAAATAGACTAGTTTGCTTCACAGGTCTTCAGTCTGTGTAGCCCTCCTGATCTCATAAGTGTTTCTTCAGTCCCATAAGTGTTTCTTCAATTCCCCACCATCTCCCCTTGGGTATTGGTTGACAACAATCAATGAAAGAAAAAGCTTTTTTTGAGAAGGTAATCAAAATAGACACACCTTTAGGTAGTCTAACTAAAGAAAGAAGGGAGAAGACACAAATAACAATAGTCAGAAATGAAAAAGAAGGCATGAAAACCTATACCACAGAAGCACAAAGAATCACTGGACACTATTATAAACAACTATACAAAAATAAATTGGAAACCTGGAGGAAATAGAGAAATTTCTGGACACATGCAAACTACAATAACTGAATCAGGAAGATGTACAAAATTTGAACAGACCAATACCAAGCAATGAGATTGAAGCAGTAATCAGCAGTCTTCCAACAAAGAGAATGCCAGGATGAGTTGGCTTTACTGCTGAATTCTACCAAACCTTTAAAGAGGAATTAATACCAATTCTCTTGAAACTATTCTAAGAAATTGAAACAGAGGCCATTCTCCCAAACTGATTCCATGAGGTAAACATCACCCTGATCCCCAAAGCAGGTAAAGATACCACTAGAAAAGAAAGCTATAGGCCAGTATATTTGAGAAGTATAGATGGGAAAATCATCAATAAAATATTAGCAAATAGACTACAGCAACACATCCAAGAAATGAAACATCACAATCAAGGAGGGTTCATCCCAGGGATGCAAGAATCATTCAACATACACAAGTCAATAAATGTGATACACTCCATCAAGAAAATCAGGGACAAAAACTATATGATTATCTCAATAGACATTTAAGAAGCATTTGACAAAATTCAACATCACTTCATGATAAAGAGTGTCAGCAAATTAGGTATAGAAGGAAAGTATCTCAACATGATAAAAAGCCATATATGACAAAACTAATGTCATTGTCATTCTGAATGGGGAGAAGTTGAAAGCTTTTCCTTAATAATGGGAAAAAGACAAGGATATCTACCCTCAGCTGTTATTTAAAATAGTATAGGAAGTACTATCCAGAGGAATCAGGCAAGAGAAAGAAAGCAAGGGCATCCCAAAGAGAAAAGAGAGGGTCAAATTGTCCATTTGCAGATATCATGATCATATATAAAGAAAAACCTAAAACGTCTCCAAAAAGACTCCTAGAGTCAGTGAACAACTTCGGTAAAGTAGTAGGATACATCAACATGTAAAAATCACTAGTGTTTTTGAACTAGCAGGAAAAAAAAAAAAAAAAGAAAGCTATATTCCATTTACCGTAGTCACCCCTCAAAATAAAACATCTTTGAATACAGTCAACAAAGGATGTGTAAGATCTCTACAGTGGGATCTACAAATCACTGTTGAAAGAAAGAAGACAGCAAAAAGTGGAAAGATATTCCATGCCATTGGATTGGAAGAATTGGATTAAAAAGTTAAATATAAGACCAGAAACCATAAAACTCCTCAAAGAAATTATAGGGGAAACACTTGAGGAAGTAGGACTGGGCAAAGAGTTTATGAATATGACCCCCACAGCATAGGCAACAAAAGCAAAAACAAATGGGATTATATCAAATTAAAAAGCTGCTGCACAGCACAAGAAAAAACAAAGGAAAAGAATAACCTACAGAGTGGGAGAAATTATTTGTAAGCTGTGCATCTGATGAAAGATTAATATCCAGAATATAAAAGTAACTCAAACAACTTAAAAGTAGAATAACAAATAGTCTGATTTTAAAAATGGGCAAAGGAGCTGAAGCAGCAATTCCAAACGGAAGATATACATATGGCTGACAGATACAGGAGAAAATGCTCAACATCACTCTGCATCCAGGAAGAGTAAATCAAAGCCACATTGAAATATGTCATTCCAGTTAGACTGGCTACTATGAAAATGCAGAGAATAACAAATGCTGGTGAGAATGCAGAGATAGAGGAGCCCTCCTATATTGTTGGTGGGACTGTAAGTTGATGCAGCCCTTATCAAAAACAGCATGGAGTTTTCTCAAGCAAGTACAGATAGAACTGCCATGTGACTCAGCAATCCCACTGCTGGGTATACATTCAAAGGATTTGAAATAGTCATGTAGAAGGGACATCTGTACTCCAATGTTTATTTCAGCTCTATTTACAGTAGGCAAGAGTTGGAACCAACCTAAATGTCCATTATTTTATGACCGGATAAGGAAAATGTAGTATATTTATACAATGAAATACTACTCTGCCTTTAAAAAGAATGAAATATTGCCATTCACAGCCACATGGATGAACATAGAAAAAATTATGTCAAGTAAAATAAGCCAGGTACAGAAAGAAAAATTTTGCATGTCCTAACTTATATGTGACAACTAAGAAAATAAATAAACAATTTAATAAATATATAAAGGAAATATACAACAATCACAATATTGCATTAAACTTCAAGAATAGAAAACAGAACTGAGTTACTAGAGGTAGGAAATGCTTAGGGGGATGGTGCAAGGGAGGTATTTGTAAAGGGTAAGAAAAATTGATTACACTGTATAATGAAGAATATATTACCCTAATTTGAACATCACATATTGCACACATTGATATCCAATTCTTTACCTCAAAGATATGTACAATCAACTATGTTGCAATGAAAAAAAACTCAAGTAAAAAAAGGTTTTTATTGAACCCTTACTTGTTTCTTTAGTTCTCTTTATGTATATCCAGATTCTAACCTATATCTTTTTCCTTCTCTGTAAAATTTTTTTTTCACATTACTTCCAATAAAGGTGTACTGGCAACAAATTTTCTCAATTTTGTTTCCTTGAGAAGGACTATATCTTTTATTCTTTTTTACAGGTTGATTTCATAGTGCACAGGACTCTAGGTTGTAGGTATCCTTAATCAAGTGTTTGGATATTTCACTGTACTCTCTCCTTACTTACGTGGATTCTCAGTAGATGTTGGGTGTAATTCTTATCTTGTTCCTTTTTACGTATGATATTTTTTTCCTTGCTCTGGCTACAGATTTTTTATTATTTCTGATTTTCTGAAGTTTGAGAACAACATGCCTAGATGTATTATTTTGGCATTTATCTGGTTCTGTGTTTATTTTGGCATTTATCTGGTTCTGTGTTATCTTAACTCCCTTGATCTTTGGTTTGGTGCCTGATATTAATTTGTGGAAGTTCTCAGACATTATTGTTTTAAGTGTTTCCTCTATTTTTTTCTCCATCTCTATTCTGCTGGTTTTCTCATTACTCTCTATTACAACTTTTGACATTGTCCAACACTCTTCAGATATTATGTACTGTTATTTTTGTCTTTTTGTTTTGTGTGTATGCTTTTCAGTTTTCAATTTCTTTGATCTATCCTCAAGCCCAGAGATTTTTTTCTCAGCTATGTTCAGTCTACCAAGTTGGTGAGAGTGTGGTGCCAGTACTATCGAGGACCATAGTTTGATCCCTATACTGGCAAGTTGGCTTCCCCCGTGTATCTTTTTAACATCTATATAATTATTTAAAGGATTTTCACTCATAGAAGTACAAATATGTTGGATTTCCAAACAGACCAAATGCAAATACATATATATATTTAATGAATTATATATTCATATAATGAATTATATGGGTAGGCTTTTTAATACTGAACTTTCCTTAAATTGTGGAATAAATTTAGAAAATTTCTTTTTGTTCTTCACATTCTACTTTTCCTCTATCTTATGTTTAAAGATAAAGTGCTTCTGCAGACTATCATTGTTCATTTTTTGTTTTGTTTTGTTTTTACTTGGAATCTCTTAGGTTTGCTCATTCATTCTGATGGCTTCAGGTAACATTAAAATTTTTCTGATGGCTTCAGGTAACATTAAAATTTTGATATTTCCCTGCCTTGGACTGAATGTCCCCCCAAAACTTGACACCTTCTGTGATGGTGTTAAGATGGTGGGAAATCCTATTATGGTAGTTGAAATATGGGGCTGTAATGATGTGATTAGATCGTAGGACCATACCATAATGAATGGGTTAATAGTGGTGGGCAGGGATGTTGTTCTGAGGGCTTTACAAGAAGAGCACATCGGAGGATAACCTATCTCTGCTCTCCAGTTTTCTGCCATGTGAGATCCCTGGGTCACTGTCATCTGCACTGAGGTCTTCACCAGCTTTGTTCCCTGGACTTTTGACTCCCCAGCTTTTGAATATGCAAGCAGTAAATTTCAGTTTCTAACAAGTCACCCAGTTCTAGGTATTTTGTTATAAGCAACAGAAATGGACTAATACATTTCCAAATCTTTAACTTCAGCTTAGATACCTTTCTTGAACTCTGGATTCATGTATCCAATTGCCATTTGCACATTCCCACAGATATTTCAAGTATAATGTATTCAAGTCTGTTTTATTTCTGCCCATTATATTTTTCTGTCATTCTAAAAACTACACTTTACAGTGCCTGTACCTAATTAGCTCTGATTATGTAGAGAGCTTAAGAGTAAAACACTTATTTTCTGCACAGGAGCTTAGCACCACAGTGTCTTTCTGGTTTTTGTTTCCACATTAATTTCCTCTCCTGTATGCTTGTTTCCACATTAATTTCCTCTTCTGTATGCTTACTGGTCTGTTATTTTATTTTTCTCTTGGTTGGCCCTTATGGGGATCTGAACCTGTGACCTCAATGTTATGAGAAACATGGTCTCCCAAGACAACTAGCTAACCAGACTTGCCCTATGTTCTAATGCAGCTGGTCTTTAACCANTGTAATCCTATTTTTAGTAATCAGTATATTATTACAGTGACAGGATATTCCTGCTAGTTTTATTTTTAACTACACTATAGGGAGAATAGAAAAGCAGCACCTTATTTAACGTATAAGACCCTCATCCTCACCCAAAAGTGTGAAATCTGAGATTCCTGTTTTCTGACCCAGGGCTAGTGGCTTGAATTGAGATCAATGTGTCATTCCAGGAGTTGGTGTCATTTGAGGATGTGGCTGTGGACTTCACCTGGGAGGAGTGGAGGGACTTGAATGATGCTCAGAGGACTTTGTACAGGGATGTGATGTTAGAGACCTACAGCAGCCTGGTGTCATTGGGTGAGTGAAACTCCCCAGTAACATTCAGAAAAAACATTTTTTTTATAAAAATAGGAATGGTTTATAGGGTTTTATGCCATTTGATAAAAATACATTTAATGAAAAACATGTCATCCCTATCTAAAAAGTTTCAAATTGGCCTCTTTATTGTGTAATTTCGGGAGCTGAGCTCTTGTCATTCTTCCAAGGATCTGGCTTTGCTGTTTTATAAAGTCCTATGTTACTTCCCACTAACAGGGCACTGCATTAATAAACCTGAGGTGATCCTCAAGTTGGAGAAAGGAGCAGAGCCATGGATAATAAAAGAACATCGCGAATTGCATCCCTTGTAAA